CTATTTGCTATTTTTTTTTCTTCTGTTGTGTTTTGTTTCCTCTTTCTGGTGGTTCCTCCTATTGGCTGTAATTCTTCCTTACAACATCACTAATGTGAAAATATGTTTAACAGGAATATATATGTATAATCTATATCAGATTGCGCGTCATCTTGGGGAGGGAAGGGGAGAAAAATTTAAAACTCAAAAGCTTAAATCAAAATAAATTAATAATTTTTTTTTTAAAAAGGGGTACAGTGGACTCAAATCTGGCCTCAGACACATGATACTTACTAGCTGTGTGACTCCAGGCAAAGTCACTTAACCCCAATTGCCTCTTTAAAAAAACTACTGATTTAAAAGCAAAAGGAATGTGTATGACTTTTTTTAATCTGTCTATAATTATGAATAATATTATAATAAAGGGCCCTTCAAACTTTGGAAGAGATATGGTTCTAAACTCACATATTAAAAGATTTTTTTTCTTAAATTAAAAAGAAATATACTATATTTGTTTGGTTTTCCTAAATTTTTGTTAACACTAGAGGCCAAAATGTATAATTACTATGACACTGTGATCACTCAAATTAAATCTAAAAGCAGAAACCCCATTGTGTTTGGGGATTCCTTCTGGACAACAGTTTGGCCTAGATGGCCATTGGGGTCCCTCTCAGCTCTAAAATTCTATGTGGTCAATTTCACACATCCTTGCCGTGCCTCTGGTTATACTGATTTCTGTTTTTTCTCAGGATCCCAGAAAAAACTAAAATAGGAACAGGATAGAACTCACCTAATATAGGAAAGATAGAGAATCAAACAGCCTGTAGAAAGTTTTGAAAGAAAGGTTCAAAGAGCACTTACTCAGTTATCACCCAGCACAAATGAGATAAATCAAGGTGACTAGCTGACCTGATTGACAACCTGCTTGCCTTCATGCAAAAACAGACCAAAAACTGGAAGGGATATTTGCTGTCTGACTGCACCCAGCCAGGCTCCTTTGCTCTGGAGACCTCATCAGCTCCCAAGGGTGCAAGCTTCATCTAATGACTCCTGAATCGATATATCCAGTCCTAACCTCTCTCCTGGATGTCAGCCACACATTGAGTGCCTGCTATTTCTCACGTCCTAGATGTTCCACGGGTGCCACAGTCCACATGGATGTGGAGCTCACTATCTCCCCCACTGAGTCTGTCCTACCTCCAAACTTCCCATGCAAAGTCCAAAGGGCATCCTAATTGGCTGAGGGCAACCCATCTGGTCTGCAGCCCTGCAATTATTCCCAGATCTTTTTTCCTTCTCCTTCACTTTCCATCTCTAATCAGTTGCCAAGTCTTGTCAGTTTTATATCAACAGCATCTCTCAAATCAGTCTCATTCTTTCCACTCTCAGCTTTTTCCTACCATACATATGGCAGACACAGGTCTTACAGCTAAGGTAAGGGCAGCTATTTTTCTAAATGAAAAGTCTCTGGCTTTTAAACTAAAACAGCACAGCAAAGCCCACTCTTCTCATGTGGAAGAGACCAATCCCATAGCTAAAATTTTCAGTGCAACAGCCAGGGACAAGTTCTGCAGCTCTGCGGGGAGGCATATCCGGCCAGCCCAGACCATGTTTGATGGTGCTGAACCACGCTGAGAGCCATAGGCAAAGACAAAGACCTCGGGGGGGGGGGGGGGGGGGGAGACCGGGGGGGGGCAGACCCAGGGGGAGCACAGCCAGGATACATCAGGGTCCCAGGAGCACAGGGGAGGGGGGGGTGAATTGTCCTGCCATGCAGGTGCCTGGCTACACATGTAAGCTACTCCACATGTGTGTCCTGGCCAAACATGTTCCCTCTGCACACGCCCTTTGGCTTACTCCCTACAGGTCTCCACTCTTTCTATTTATCAATGGTGGGGGAATCTGTGGGAAAATATGCTCCAAGTTTATGGGAGAAATATTTTATTGCTACTTTTCTCACTATGCCTTTCATTAAATACCTTTACTCTGAATTAATTATGTCCTCTGGCTAACTATCAAGGGTAAACACTTGGGTGGGGACTTGTGAGCGGTGATGTTTAGCAGATATGGACCCTGAGAGTTCCTTAAACGTGGGGAAACCTTTTCTGGGGAACCCACCCGAGAGTTCCAGAACAATACACTATATTAGAGGCAAGGTAGACTACTAGCCATTTTCTGAACTTGACATTGCATAATAATAATAACTGCTAGCATTCACATAGAGATTTAAGGTTTGCAAAGGGCTTTACATATGTTAACTCATTCAACCCCCACAACAACCTAGGAGACAAGGGCTACAATTGTCCCCATTTCACAGATGAGGGAATTGAGGCCCAGAGGTGAAATGATTTGCCCAAGGGTCACACAGTCAGGCAGTATCTGAGATCTTTCAGACTCTAGGTCCCAAGCTCTATCCATTGGGCCACCTGGCTGCCTCCAGGTATTCACACAAATCACTCCCAATATCTGGAATAACATCTCCCCATCTCTATTCAAGTGGCACCTCCTCTATGAAGCCTTCCTTGTATGATCCCCAATATCACTCCTTCAACAAACATTCATTAAGCACCTACTGCATACTAGGCATTACACTAAGCCCAGGGAATACAAGAGGAAAAAAATAAGCAACACTCCTGCCTTCCATGCCAAGTGCTCCTGCTCCATGTTCGTTGGAAGGTAATTACCTATGCACACACTGAATCACCCCAAAGGGAATGTTAATTCAGGCACTGTTATCTTTTTATCCCCAGTACATCCAAAGGGCTTAATAAATGTGCGTTGAATTGTAGTGGATTAGAGATCGATGGGTCCAAGCTGATCAGTTTCTAGAGGAAGAAAATGAGGCCCAGAGAAAGGAGGTGATTTGCCTAGAGTCACAAGAGGAGTAAGCAGCAAGGGTGACATTGGAAACCAGATCTTTTGACTCCCAATCCAGCAAACTCGGTGCTGACCCAGAGCCTAGAATCTGTCAGGGTTGTTTTCTGATTGTTCAAATGCACAAGAGAAGGAAAGAGAAAAATGTTATATAAGAGAGAGCCAGAAAGCCCAGGACTTGAAGGGGGCCCTCTCCTCTGCGGGGCCTATGACACACCGTCTGTGCCTTTCCAGACTCGAAGTATGCATCAGTTTTGCTGATTGTTTTTGTCTCTTTTTTAATAGAATTTGTTATATCAGATAGCTCTCTGGGAGGGGGAATGGACACTGGAAGAATTCTGGTGATGTAAAAACAAAAGATAGAGAGAGAGAAAAAAGTTTTTCAGTTTTTTTAAGAAAAAGAGTTGGGGGGCACTATCTGTGTCTTGCTGGCTCTGCCCAATGCATAGGGAACAAATAAAACTGTGTCTGATGGCCCATTGGCGCTGCCCGCTTCCATAAGCCTCCTGAACCTGAGCCTTGGTCACAAGGAAGGCAGCACCAGAGGCCCAGGCTCCTTTCCCCACCATATAAAGTAGTGTTCAGAGAAGGCAGGGGCCTTCCAGGCTGCTGGTCAACTCCATCACTTTACAGTGGACCAAAGGGAAGGCCAGAGAGAAGCGATCTAGCCAACGTCACTCCAGTACTAAGTGGCACTGGACATCCTCAAACCCAGGGTGGAATCGGGAGACCAAGGCTGGAAATCCCGCTCTGCCACTACTCTGTGGGACCTCAGACAAGCCTCTGAGAGGGTTGGACAAGATGACCCCCAAGTCCTTTCCATGATTTTCTGATTCCTTGCCAAGAGCTCTTGCTAGACTGCCGGCCAGGTGAGGCGACTGCCAGCCAGGTGATCCACCTGGAATGGGACTGCCGGCCAGGTGAGGCCATCTGCCTGGGATGGGTACTGCCCGCCAGGTGAGGTGACTGCTGGCCAGGTAATCTGCCTAGGATGGGACTGCTGGCTAGGTGAGGCGTCTGCCGGCCAGGTGATCTGCCTGGAATGGCTTGGTTCCAACCAGACAGGGAGGAGGGCTCAGGTAGCTCTCCCCAGGCTCCAGCCAGGTTAAACAACCACTGCTTGTCTCCAGGCTGAGAGGCAAATCCATGCATCCTGGAGAGACAAATCTGAGCATCTGCCCCAGGACTTGCAATCCAGAAGGGAGATGAGCTTGATCAAATCTGCTATCCATTCTCAGACCAGGAATCTGTGACCTGAGTCCACGGCCCAGAGCCCTGTCCACAGAACCAGCCAGCCCATCACCTGCTCTCCCTCCATCACCTACTTGCGGTGTGACCTTGGGCAAGTCAGCCCCCTTCTCCTGGGGTTTCCTATCTACAAAAGGAGGGCACTGGACTGCCCGGTCCAGCTCAGCCTGTGGCCCACAGGTCCTTAGAGAGGGTCATCCTTGGGATGGGGCAGACAGGGTGGTCTTGGAGCCAGCAGCCCACCCCTGAGCGAAAGGCAAAAGGATGCACGGAAAGCCCAGTCCCTTCATGCTACAGATGAGGAGACTGAGGCCCGGAAAGACGGCCAGGGGCTAACAGGCCACCCCCCTCCCCCACTATGGCAGGCCACTGTCCTGCACTTGGAGTCAGAGGGCCCTGGGTTCAAATTCGGATGCTGCTCCTTAGGGCCCCTCCTCTAAAAGATGAGGAAGCCGAGGGGCAACCCCGGGGTCAAAGACCTGGGGGGTACCTGGGGGCTCTTCCCCCACCTGCCTGTGGCCGCAGAGCTCCTAAGTGGCGGGAGCAGGATTCGAACCCAGGTTCTCCCGGACTCCAAAGTCTCGCGATCAGCCCATCCGGGCCTCAGTTTCCCCCTGTGCAAGATGAGGAGCTTGGATTAGAAGGTCCCCGGGGTCCCTTCCCGCTGTGACCGGGGCCTCGCCACTGCTTCCCGGGCCTCAGTTTCCCCCTCTAAAATGGGGGCGGGTTGAAGTAGATGGTCCCTAGGCTCTCTAAGGCTACGACCCGACGGTCCTATGGCAGGTCACATGGTCGCGCTCCCGGGCCTCAGTTTCCCCGTTGGGGGGGCTCGCCCACGGTCCCATCCAGCTCCAGCCCCGGGCGCCCGTCAGCCTCGGCCCAGCCTCAGTTTCCCCTACCTGGGAGGCGCTGGGGGGGCCGGCCCCGCCCCCACACGAGCCGCGACCTTCCCTCCATCCTCACCTGCCGGGCGGCGCTCGCTGGGGGCGGCGGTTAGGGCCCCGGGCCGGGGGTCGTCGCGGCCTGGCTGCTGCCCCCCCCCGCTGCGCTGCGCTCCGCCGCCGCCGCCGCCGCCGTGACAGGTCCCGGCTCCGCGAGCTCAGCCTGCACGAGAGAGCGCGAGCGCGAGCGCGTCGCGCACCCCCGAGCCGGCCTGAGCGCGAGCGCG